ATAAAATCAAAATCTAAATCTGCAACTTAAATTGTAAATATATCTCTAGTGATAATAAAAAAATGTCTCTAAAATCAAGACAAACGGTTAGAGACAGGAAACGATTAGAGACGGTTACGCCTTAAGGAAACTATTGTTTCGCCCGATATAGAACGGGGTCACAAGAGTCTCGAGATTGACGATGCGGAAGCATTAAGGAAGGGCAAGGTCAGCGATAATGTTTTTATCGCGCTTGTGAAACAGGTGCTTGCTTATCGGAGCCTAGCTTCCCTCTCGTTAAATGTTATGCGCATTGCGTTCAACCAGATAATCTGATTGAGCACAAATAATCCTGCGATCTCACAGAATTTCACAAATGTTTCAAACGTTTTTTCCATATTAGCATAGTCCGCGTAGCGTTATTCTTGAGTTTTTAACAAAGTTTGTTGCAGTCAGAATTGCATACTTCTCGAGTCTTTAGCGATATCTCGAAGGAGTTTGAAATTCCGTAAATTGCTGACGTGAAAAAAAGAGCCGGAACATTTGAAAATTAACTTGGCCAACAAAAAAAAGCCACGACGATGCACTTAATCGTTATTATTTTAATTGCGTTTAATTGCGTTTCAATTTTCGGGTATCATCGGTAATATTCGACAATATTTGTTCAAATGGATAATTGCCCTTTAATATGAAAGCATCGATTCGAAAAATCAGATATTCCCATGTGAAAAATGTAGGATAGATTTTAGTCGCACTATGTGTTGCATTTTCCACAAAATTGCTGTTAAAAATAAAACCTTTTTTCCTTTCTTTCTCTCTCTCTCTTTAAACATGAATGATCAAAATTGGTTATACTCGTAAAATACGTTACATAACAAAAAAATAAAAGCACCTTCAAACAGTACAATGTGTATTTATTTCTCTCTTTTGTACACATTTCCTATTCATTCTCGCGAATTAGAGCAAATTTTTTCTAATAGTTTGACGCTCGCGTTTATATATCTTCGTTTTCTTTTCTCTACCTGGCGCCCGCGGATAATTTGACGGGAAAACAGCACATCGCGGTTCGAAAATTTCTTGCATACCGTCTAAACAAGCCAGAACGTGTCCAGGCATTCTTTATTAAAGGGCACACAGCGATCCGACAGAGGCATCAAGGCCTCTCAGATGAATGTAAGGTCGAACTCTCGTAACGTAACCCGTCTCTCAACCTAGCTCTATCCTATCCTATCCTACATAAAGGACGTACCTTTAACTCTGTTTAACTTCCACCTGAATTAGCTTTCATCTACCTTGCGGCCCGTTCCACACATTGTTCTCCGCAATCTAACTCGACATCGTTTACATTTCGCAGTGGCCCGTGCTAATGTTTAAACCCTTCACCGTTCATCGCGGATTACTTTGTTCGGTAAAACATTTATTATCCTAAAATATAAAAATTTCTCGCCCGAGATATACACACGAGTGCGCGTTGATGAAACAAAATTCTGTGAAAATTATGATTTTTTAATTCTTTTTAATTGCGCGCGCATCTGGTATAATATTATTGCTCTTTAGTACTTATAATAAAATAATTTTACGGGTATAACTACGCGTTTACTTTGGCATCTATCTCGCTAATTAAAATTCTGTTTAAAATAAACATTCTCTCTTTCTCTTTCTTTCGAAGTAAATGAAGAAGAAAAGTCTTTAGATCTCTGTTAGCTTATACTTCTAGAAAAGCATCGCATTTTTGTTAAAAAGAAATTAATTCTAAATTCTGTTTGAAAAATACAAACATAGAAGAAAGTATTTAATTATATTTCAAACAACTCATAATATTACAATCATTATCATGTAATATCTTTTACTTTATTTAATTTATAATTCAATTAATTATTCGAAAATGCATGTCGATGCACGCTGGGGACGCGCGAAAGTATCTTACGCTAAAAGTACTCGGCTTTTATCGATCGAATTTGACGTTCGCGCGCGCAAAAGACAATTTGAAAAAAAAAATAAAAAAGGAGGGGGGACGGAGGGCGCATCCAATGCCCGACACCGGTCGGAAGCAAAGCCTGTGCTTGTCTGCGCAATAAGGATCCCAAGCATTACAGACAACCTAGATAGGTCCCGTCCCTTCTCTCACCCTCAGACGGAATGTTTTGCATTTTAAGAAGGTGTCGGATATCCTTTGCGTTATCCGAAGACAGGCCGCCCTCGTCGAGTCTGCTCCGTCCAGGAGCGAGGGTGGAAGAGGAAAAGAAGAGAGGGAGAGAGAGAGAGAGCGGAGGAAGAGACACGAGAGAGAGAGAGAGAAAGAAGCACAAGAGTGAAGCTTCCCTTGAAATCCGTAGTAATTCACGGTCCTGTATTACGTGCCAAAAAGAACACTCTCCCCCAACCGGCGACGACCGATGCCAGTAGAGTCGCCTTACAGTGAACGAGCGGAGAATCCGCTTGTTTAGCAATAGCATCCAATGTTTAACGATATTTAAGTTAAATGCGCGAATTATTTCTAAGCCGCGCAGAATTTCTAGATATTGCGTAATATTAAGACCTCGCGTATTTTACGAGAATAACACGGTAATAATTTGAATACCCAATATAAATTTTGTAGAAATTATAACAATAATAGATTCTTACTTTCTTTCATGTATGAATTTTAAAAATAATCATAAATGGAATGATAATATTAATTAAATAAATATATTTATAATATTAATTATAAAAGCTTCTGAAAAAATTTGTGTTGTATAATTAAATTGAAAAATTACGATTAATGATGGTCTTTTTTTCACATATCCCTTAAGAATAGTTGAAGATTTTTTAGAGAAAATTAAAATTGCGAGCTATAAGATATTCCTTATAATAAAGACGACAGAAAAGTATAATGTATTGTGTAAAAGTACAAGATTAACAAATGTCAACAAAAAATTGGACGGTTCGCCGCGAATAAATAAGGCAGTCTAAAAACAGTCGCGTGAAAACGGATTGGTCGGGCTCCTGTGTGGTCATTTTCTAGAGGACTCGAAGAACAATCGCATTTAATCGAGTCGCCGTTTACCGAGACTCTTGCTTAAAGGAGATCCCAGATGAAACGAGAGCAAACTCGATCGTTCCGGTATCCAGGAGCCGGCAAACCCTGTTTTTCCCTCTTCTATGAAAGCCCTCTTAAAAAAAAGCGGTACCTCTCTTCTTCTCCGTAAGGCACATTTTTTAAAAGCATTTTTCAACAGTTTAATTTCATTGAATATTTAAAAGGATGTATATATTAAGTCGTCAATTTGCGCGGAAAATTATGGATTCTGCACAGCACAAATTATACTACACAAAATTTGCTAAGTTTAAGAAAAAAAATTATACCACTTAATGCGCAAAGTTAGCCGAGAGATTTGCAACCACGCCAAAGAAGTACCTTATAAATCGAAAGACAGATGTATATATAT